TTTTCAAATGTTCATTTCTTTAAAGCGGCTAGTTTTTATTTTTTTCCAGATGTTCATTAAAAAGAAGAAGAAAATGATAATATATAATATAATTAAAGCAACATGTGGATGTATTTAAGTTTCTTTTTTTAATTTGATCTACAATAAGGACATTCCTGCACCCGTCCAATCTTTGGTAGACCTAACCTTGGGCGGACAGCACGTCTTGATTGCAGTCTAGGTTATCTCTCCTATCCGCACAGTTTCACGTGACGTCTTAAAATACATGGCTCTATAATTGTATCTAGGGCCAGCTCGTGGCGGATTTCAGAGATGAATATATTATTATCTGGAAGATGAAACATAATTTTTTTAAAGAAAAAAAAAAAGAGCCACATTTCTATAAGAATCTTTCGGTCCACAATCCTCAGACAACGCAAAACTACCGGTACATTAAATCCTCCCGCATATAACTAGTCTCGCGCGACCCTACATACAACTAATAGCTCCAGCATCAGCTTTCGGGCAGCACCAATACAACATACAACTGAAAGCTCCAGCATCAGCTTTCGGGCAGCACCAATACAACATACAACTGCCAGCATCAGCTCTAGGACAGCACCAATACAACATACAACTGCCAACATCAGCTCTCGGGCAGCACCAATACAACATACAGTGACCAGCATCAGCTCTCAAGCAGCACCAATACAACATACAACTGCCACCATCAGCTCTCGGGCAGCACCAATACAACATACAACAGCCACCATCAGCTCTCGAGCAGCACCAATACAACATACAACAACCACCATCAGCCCTGGGGCAGCACTAACTGCCACCATCAGCTCTCGGGCAGCACCAATACAACATACAACTGCCACCATCAGCTCTCGGGCAGCACCAATACAACATACAACTGCCACCATCAGCTCTCGGGCAGCACCAATACAACATACAACTGCCACCATCAGCTCTCGGGCAGCACCAATACAACATACAGTGACCAGCATCAGCTCTCAAGCAGCACCAAAATACAACATACAACTACCGGAGCGCCAGGCTTGGGCGAAGCTACAGCCAACTTGACCCAATATTCTCGAGGAAACCTTCAGTTTTGTCATTTAAAGAATGCAGTTGAATTTTCATAGAGTTATATATAGCTTATTTGCCGATCATGTGACACAATTGTTCCGCGCGATCCAGAGTCCCACGTGACAGTTAGATAACACTGCGATGCTAGCGTTTTCTTTTTTTATAATTACTTATACACGGTCACTAGCGTCTCGATCTTTTGACAGAGTTTTTTTTCCCCTTCTGAATTTAGCGGAAGGCCTTCAAGAAGTGATTAATGATCTACTTCATGTTCTTCATTTAAAGTCATTTAGGTAGTGTAATAATAGTTCATTTAAGGCCATATAAATAGACGTACAAAAATAGTTGTTTAAATAGACTGTGTGTAACGAGCTCAAACTTGACGGTGTAATACGGTGCAATGGCCAATTCAAAGAAAACGACTTTTCTTTAAGGTAGGCCACATTTAAATATAATTTCTTAATAGTCTTGACGATAATTTTTGTCCTCTCACGACATGGGGGGTAAATTAAAAAAAAACTAAACAAAACGACAAAAAACAAATAGGCTATATCAACAAGGGGTTGCAATCCGTGATCCCGAAATTCGAAAATACCGGAATATCGGACCATAATTGATGTTCGGGATTGGATTTTTGAAAACCGGGATTTTCGATAATCCCGGGATTTCATTTTCAATTTTTAAAAAATCGTTTTTTCATAGTTTCCACGTCTTAGTTAAAGCAAGAAATATCAATCTATGAGATGTGCAAATCCCTCACATGTCTCAAGTTCAAAGATCTGGCTCGATCGGTGTACTCTTATTTTGTCAAGAATCATGACGTTGTGATTAGTTTTGTTTTTTCATCATGCATGTGTGGTGTGTAAGTGGAGACGAGGCACGACGTGAAGGTACAGGATTAGTAAGTCAATGTTTTCATATTATTGACAAATTGACTAATTATGTTTAAGACACGTAAAAATTAAGTTACTGCTATTTTGTGATAACTATATTAATCAATTACATTAACCTCATAATTGATTTTCGAGCTATTTTGTCTCAGGCTAAATTTCCCAGTTTGTCTGTACAGTACTTAGTCAAACATTTACATGGAAATTTAAACATTAAAAAAAAATTGTACACGTCAAACCAATTAGATTGAATTAATAAATTTTTCTTAATGATTAATTTTCCCTTCATATTGATAGAAAAAAATGGGGGACCCTGAAAAAAATAAACCTAAATTTGAAAAGCATTTGAAACAATCTGAAACAAATACATCAGTTTGGCATCATTTCTTGAAAGCTACGGACAATCTCTCAGCTAAATGTATTAGATGTAACAAGATACTTCAAACATTGGGAGGTAAAACTTCAGGCCTTGACTCTCATTTAAAATCTGCACATTCCAGTGACTACTAATTGGACGTATTTCTACGGCCACATTGCAACCAGATGCGCAAACATATCGAGGATATTCAAAAGCTTGGTCAGACAGCGGCTTCCTCGTTGGAAATATCCATGAACAATGAAATTAAACATCTTGGATATGAGGAGGATGAAATACAAAATAAACTTCAGGCTATGGATAATACTTCCAGACCAACGGATGGAGACATTGATACATTGGTATCAATGGACATGGCTTTAAGAATGGCGGTTCAAGAGGAAAATATCTAGACATTGCGTATGATATCCTAAGATCTATTCCTCCGACCAGTGTGGAGTCAGAGCGGGTGCTCTCTTCATCACGTTAATTTTGTAATCATTCGTGAACAAAGTTTAGAGACCAAACATTATACACTTGGTCAATTTTACGATTTCACTATTTAAATTTGAACAAAGATTAAAACAACACGATGTATTTTAATATTTGATTAATAAAACTTTTTAAATTTCAAAAGTTAAATATGTTATTTTTGTTCGTTGGATAAAGTCTGAAATTAAACATTTGTGTTATTGTTAAAAAGCTTATTAAATATTAACATATTTTTCTGAATGTTTTTATTTCATTGATAAATCCTAAACTTTAATCTTGAATCTAAACTAAAAATTCTATAAGTATCGAAAATATCGAAAATACCGGGATTCCGGTATTGGTAAACTTCAATATCGAAAATACCGGTTTGGTCAAAAGGGACCGATTCGGCGACCCCTAATATCAACCCCGCGGACTGTGCATCTCTGGAAAATAATGAAAATATAATAAACAATCCGAAATTCGATTAAGATGTGTTTCAGTGCCTGTGACATTATATCAACTGACCTGCAACTTCTCTCTGACCAATTATTATTTAAAAAGTCTGTATTGTCTAAATTATGCTAACAAATATGCTATTAATTATGTTATTTTTATTATTTTTTTAAAACTTTATTTTCAAGGACTTCATTTTTTTTTTTTTATTTCTATTTTAAACAGAGACATCATAATTTTATTATTTGATGGCTGCAAAACATCTGAACATTTTAATATTGACATGAAACGGAATGCAGAGTGAAAATCAAATGTATCATTGTCAGTTAGTAAGTCAGTAAGAAAAACTATTATAATCCTTACAAAAAGACTAAAGAAAGAACCAGTGATGCCAGTTTTTCGACATTTTTAAGTTATCTCCCCTGTGTCTACTTGCATGCATGACAACCGGTCGGATAAAATTAACTATACAAATCGTCCCACTAAAAAACCAACAAACAAACAAATAAACAAACAAAATCGTACAACGGAATAAAAAACTTGACATAAAAAATTTGAAAGATGAAAAAGTATATTTTATAAGTGTTTTTTTTTTTTTTTTTTTAAACAAAATAATACTTTCAAAAAGAAATTTGAAGCAAAATTTTAATTAAAAACTGAACAAATGATTCGACCAAATTTCCGTTCTATCAAATTACTGTCGATCAATTTACCGTCGACGAAAATTTGTTTAGATCAAATTTCGGGATACGGTTTTGAATTTATGAATAAAAAAAAAATTAACAATATATATAGACTAGTCTCCCTTTTGCTGCGCGCGCAACTAATCATGTTTACATCATTCGTAATGGGATATATTGAATATTTATAAGGAAATTTAAGAAGTCCGATTTTTTTAAAATTAGAGTTTTCACACTGATTATAGCCATTTTAATTTTAAAAATGATGAATTTGATAGCAATTTAAGTATAATTATACTTAATTCTATTAATTAAGCGAGCTGTAGTGGCCTAATAGGCCTACTTAGACTTAATACAGATTCCTTTAATTTAAATTAAGGAAGTAAATTAAAAGTTCATTCGTCTTATTTGAGTATTGACAACATTTTTGAGTTTACCTTCTTAAGCTTATTTTATTTTAAATCGTACATAGGGATTGAACCATGCCGTTGTAATAAAAATGACTACTGAATAATGCTAGTCATTGATTGATAATGATATTAAATAAATATAATTATTTAATATAAATCAAAAGAACAATAATAACACTGCAGTTCTTGTTAAGAATTAACACCAACGGAACTGTTATTAGATGCTTATTTAGATGGCATACTGTTCCTCAACTTGTTCATTTTAAACGGGTAAAAAAACGAATTTAATAGGCTTCTTTTGTCCAACGTACGTCCGTACATCTTGGCAAACGTATAAAACTGTACATAGTACGGGTAAACCGTACAAGTTGGCATGTATTTTATATGCCATTTAGTAGAATAATCTGAGATATAAATTAGCTTAATTGAAAAAGCAGTGTGGTCAAGAAATATTAGACCAGGGGAAAAAATTGTTAAAAGGCTTTCCTGGGTTGTTTCCCTTGCAGACAATGAAGTGCGGGATTACGGTCACGTGATTCGTTGTTTACAGTAGTTACAATAGCTGACACCACAAGAACACCGATTGTTAACGCAAAATGGGGGAGAAGGCAGATTGTTGGTAGAAAGCGCGACTTGCTAAAAAAAAAAAAAAGAGAGAGAGAGACTACCTAGTTATGCAGTTGGTGAAGTTTGCAAGTGAGCTTAGATGTTTTGAAAACACGACAGGCGATGAGAGAAATGCACTGTACTTGTGTCACAATTTTAAATTCATTCAAGTGAATGCGTTCTAACAGCACCGAACTAGACGAGACGAGGGGGTGGCAACATTACATGACCACAGTTCCCTGTAACATGTCAGCATTGCTCGAGTCGGTAAATTTGATCGAGTGTCTTTTAATATTTGGTGTTTGTATCGACGAAGCTTCTATGTCCATTATCAATGATTTTCGGCATCGCAAGAAGCAGAGTGGAGATAATTCGATCTGGTTTGACTTTGACAAAGTCTGATTTCCTGGTAAATCAGTTTTTCATTTTTCACTAATATGAATATGATTTTGCCTGTGTGTAGTGCAGGCGTCTGTCTGTATCTTCATGTGACATAGTGTCAGTCAACGTTCCCTCTAAGGTTTGCTGGTTTGTGTGCAAAATCATACAATACAGTTGTGTGCAAAGTTTTACAGCATACATTTTTTTTGTGTGCAAAATATTTCAGCCCACAAACACACACTTACATAGAAATTAGCTGCGGGGTACTCAAAACTGCTGCAGCGTCTATGAGATAGCTGTGCGGCCGCAGCTTAAAGGGAATATTGGTGATAGTGAGTGTGTTTGATGTTATAGTTTATGTGATTTAATATTTAATGCAAGATTTATTTATTTTACTAGAAAGATTTAATATAAAATTACTTTTTGTATTGTTTTAAAATCTTTTCTTAAAAGAAGGACTGGAACAGATAAATTAATTTATATTCAGTTTTTGTCTAACTATGATGAATTTAACATCCAGCTGCAGGAAAGATACAGATAAAGAGGAGGTATCAATAATTTCACACGAAAAAGAATTGCACCTTATGACAGAAAATCATCTGCTAAAATAGCTTTTAAAATTCCAACAACATAAGTTGCTAATACTTTTAAAAGCTGTCTTTGTTCACTTTTAATATTCATAATCTGGCTTCAGATGAGGTATTTTTGTACTCCTACAATATAATAATGAGACTATTGAGACTGGCAAAGAAGGGAGCTGATGATATTTCTTCTATGCTGTAATAAATTCTTTAAAAAAATTCTTCCAACAGAAGTGTCAAGGTGGAGCTGTTTTACAAGTCCTATGCTGGTCAAAACAAAAATTGGAAACTGTTAAGGTTTTTGTACTAAACGATGCATCACAAAAAACGTTTTGAGTGCGTCAAAATTTCTTTTCCCATCTGTGGTCACAATTGCAAGGAATATGAATGTGAAAAGGCTTGCATGAATATGAAGGCAAGAGCTGAGATTCCAGATGACTAGATGAAATTTTTCAGAGAAGCTCACTTCATTCTGTGTTTTACTAAGGTCTGGAGAGCAGTTCTTCATGGTGTCGTGGTGCTCAAACCTTTGTACCAAGCTACATGCCCAGTACAAACTTCTCCTTTTAGAGAGGTCATCTTCAAAAAGGTACATCCAGAGATGATGCTCTACCGTGACAATTGGCATGATCAGCTTTCCTCAGCCATTCTGTCCAACCCCATGGGGAAAAAGACATTGGCACCAATATGAGACAATATGCAACCTTTGTATTCTGCAAGACTGCCCCTCAGCCAAGCCAAGTTTGACGACTTGCAGGTTTTGAAATGACTCTGTTCTCAGATGGCACAAAAGTTCTTCGACAAGCTGCTGAGACCAAGCAAACCGTTGAGACCATACAAACCGCTGAGACCGTGCAAACCGCTGACAGTGAATAAGAAACAAAAATTTGCAACACATGCATAAACAATGAACTAGATGACAGATGTTTATTGCCTTTTAATATTTTCATTCTGTTTTGAATAACTAAAAAAAAGAAAGAAAGATAAACCCATTATGTTGTGTTTTTTTTTTACTTATAAAATACACGTCATATAATGAAAGGGAAAAACCAGTGATGTCATTTTTGTCATTGCTTTTAGAAAACATATCTATTGTTATGTGACAAATTTATGGCTATTATTGCTATTAACCCAAAATTTTGACTTATATTTGCATTAAAAGTCTTTAAACTTTATTGTTAATTTTTTCTCCAAAATGTGAAAACTTGACATTATGGTTTTTCCATTGAGCCTTTTGGATATTTCTCCCCCAATTTACCTAAAACTTGGTGTGGGCTGAAAAATGTCACTTTTACATTCTATTTGTGGTTGCAGCAAATAAAAAAAAAATGACATGGATAGACCTATGATAGTTAATGGGTTTGGAAAGTTGTACCGGTACAATTTTTGTTGTTGCTATATTTAATTATGTATTTCTTTATTTATCTTTTCTTTAGCTTTGGTCTTCTTATAAAATCATCTAAATAAAAAAAACACAGACAGATTACCCTTGCCTTTAATATTTTAAATCATTTACACAATGAACCAATGCCAACCTATAATAAATTTTAAATGTAAAATCACTTTTTAACAAAAATTTTTTTTTACACCATTTCAATTTTATTAAAGCAATGGTCCCAAATCAGAAGCTGCAGAATGTCCTTACTGAATCACTGGATGCATCTGTGTCCATTGAATGTCAACTAAATGGGAAAAGGTATATCAATAGAGCGGGGTACGACTCACATGGATCTGAATCAGAGCAGCTGCTTGGAGACCAATATTCAGGAACCATCTTCAAGGAAAACTGTAAGTTACATGAGAATTATTTACATCATAGCAGTTATTGTTGAAATCTGATTCTATGCCATGCTTTAGTTGCTAGAAAAACATATGACTGGTGGCCTCTGTGAAAAATAACTTATAAACAGCCAGTCATTTGATGATGTTTAAAATTGAGCTTATTATATAAAATTCAGTCTTTGTTTTTGGCTGTCAACAATTTTTATATTTTCATCAATAATTTTATATTAGAACCCAAATGCAGGAATTAAATAATTGATTATTTTTCATTTAACTTAATTTATAACTTTTAAATTATTTGTTTCTAAAAAAAAAATAATGCAGTAAATAATTTTATATAGGCCTACATTTATAAATAATTTCATAATTTTGATGGATTTAAAAATAAATCTAGTAGGCAAAACTAAGAAGATAAAATTAAAATTTATTGCTCAAATAATGGACTCCACAGCAAACTGAAATTTTCATTACTTAAGGCAACATCACATTAGAACTTTTTAATGACCATTTCACTTATTTGCATGGAAAACTTAAAATTATTTTCTATTTTTTAACAGACAGCCCAAGCCACATAAATAAAATATAGGATGTGTAAAATTAGAAACTAGTTTGTTTTTTTTTTTTGTTTTTTACAAAATAAACTTTTAATTTTAGACAAATATTTCACGTCTCACTGGGAGACCATCTCTTAGATTTTTCTCTCTTTAAATAAAAAAAACATTCAAGGTTGCAGCAAGCCTACCTGTTATGTGCCCGCCCGCTACGTCTTGGCCCTCTGGTCATTTCTGGGATTCATCAACATGTTCACACTCAGGATGGACATGAACATTGCAATACTTGCCATGGTGGAGAACTGCTCCAGCAAAGTACAGTTTGAACATACAAGTACAGAAGCAACCATTGTCAATGCCACTCATTATCACGTGAGTCATTTGGTCACATTTCACCACTTTTGACCACTTTTGACCACTTTTGGCTGAATTATGAGCAAATGTTTAAACCTTAGCTTTAAATGAGACTCATATTTAAATGGGTTTATTGCTGGGGATCGTTTTTGATGACTGGAAAAAGATAATTTCTTTCCCCTTGAAATGTGAATTAAAATTTATGAAAATGATTTTTGTTTTGGAAAAGGGGATGGAGGGTTTTAATGTTTTAAGGGGGAAGATTAAATGTTATAAAGGAATAATTGGTGGTTTTAAAGTGTTAATTTTCTGTTAAACAAGTATAATTTAAAGTACTTATTAGAACAACATTGTAAGCCTACTTTTCGTGTAAAATTTAATGTTTTGTCTGCATCATCTAGTTATTAGAAGGTAGTTATTTTAATGCTAAATTGCATTTCTTAATTATTTTTAATAAATTGCACAATTTTGAATTTCTGGAAAACTTAAAGTTAAAATATTTACCAGTTGAAGGCTGCAGTTGTGTTTTTTTTCAATAAAATCACATTTTCATTTCAAGAGCTTTCTTTCATTTTACCGGTATTAAGAAATTATATATTTTTTGAAAAATTTCTTTAACTTAATGATTTTTCATTAGGCCTAAAAAAAATTGTTCTCCAGCCCAACAAATTTCACTGGTCTGAGAAACAACAAGACCTCGTCCTGGGAGCATTTTTCTATGGTTACTGCAGCACTCAGATATTAGGTGGTTACCTGTCTGGCAAACTAGGGGCCAAACTTATTTTGGGGCTGGGAATCCTTATGACCTCCATTTTGTCCCTGCTGACACCCATCGCGTCAGAACAGAGCATCTACCTGCTTGTTGCTTGTAGGATAATGCAAGGCTTGGCTCAGGTATCTGCTGTCAAGTTAGAGTTAGGAGATCTTAACTTTGTCACTGATAGAAAAATAAAATATTTTTAAAAAAAATTAAGTGCTGAAGGAAATGCACAGACAAAGCTTTAAGAGTTTTATAGTTTTACTGTTAACCTATAAATGGTTTAATTTTTTTTTTTTTAAACTGTACCTACATCTGGAAGAGAGCAATAGAATGTTCACTCTTCCTTTCATTTGTCTGCAATTATGCTTGCCTCAGGCTTTAGATTTGGGTTCTGTTTGAAACATTAACTTTAAATGCATCTTTACTTTTGAAAATGTAACTATATTTTTAAAGACTTCATGTTCGTTCACTCATCTGGTAAGCTGACGGTAGCATTAAACTTTTTAAAATAGTGGCCATATTGCCTGGTGAATTTAAAGCAGATTGGGAAAGTTTTATCTGTGTTGAAAAATATTAACTTAAATTATTTCACTGATAATTTATTATCCTTTTTTTCAAATTTCATTTTTGAGGAATTAAGACAAAACATTTTTATTCTTCAAGGGTCTTGCTCAGCCATGTATGCATACCATGTGGTCTAAGTGGGCTCCTGATAAAGAGAAAAGCTGGCTAATGACAATAACTTACGCTGGTAAATCAGAAACGTTTTTGGACCACCTGAAGCCTAAAAGCTTTTGACAATTATAATGTATTTACCACTTTAAAAAAAAGAGGACTACATCCGTGTCTCATAATTTGGGTTGTAGGCCTATACACCGATTAAATGTCATCAAAGTGACACAATACCAAATTATAGTTTAATTCACCAAAATGTTAATTAAATAACACATTAAACACAGCCCTCCGTTATATTATTATCCTTTAAAATTTTACCAGAAAAGTTATTTTTCAACCAAACAAAATTGAAACTTAAAATCACTATAATTTCAGGCTGCCAGGTTGGAACTGTTGTGGCCACCTGGGCGACTGGCTACATGGCAGAGAGTGACATCTTAGGTGGCTGGCCTTTTGTCTTTTATTTTTTTGGTAAGATACGAAATCTTACTCCACTCAAAAGTCAGTTTTTTTTTTGAGGATCATAAAAAGTTGATTTGTATTCCTATTAAAGTTTATCCCTGGCTATGACTTTGTATTTCGGTGTAAATGTAGGCTATATATATTTTTTATAAATTAAGGATTCAAAATTTCTATAAGTAAAAGCAGAGGAAGCTTTAGTTAAAGAGAGTTTCAGCCAAAAACATAACAATCTTATCCGAAGTTTAAAAATATTGTATTCATTATATGTTAAAATGTCAGTAAGTCTATCAAATATAATAGGCCCCTACATTTTTCAAATGTTTCTTCCCAAGTGGCCTTAAATTAAGTGCCACAAATATATAAGATATTTCAGTGGTGGCTCCAATAGCCACACATTTTTCAAAACAATATTTGGCCTTTGCAGTGGAGTGTGGACTTCCTGCTGTTCTCTGCTATCAATGTTTTCTAATCACAATTAGTAGTAGTTCTGAAGGGGTGTACGTATATATAATTTTGTCCTATTGCTCTGTTTAATAGCAAAAAAAATACATTCCCCAAAAGGGCACTAAACAGCATGTAAAATTGTGTTCAGTAGCCGAGCAAGATACAGTTTCCAATTTCTAAAAGGGATTCTTAATAAACTGATTGTGAGATACAATTTTTTCTGCTTTATGTAAATCAGGGGTCACCAAACTATGGCCCATGTGCCGGATCCGCGACGTTAGCTCATCAGGCCAGCTGACCGTATTTGAATTTGCTTGATAAAACGTATTGAACACAAGACGTTGTGATACAATTTAAATATTATGTTTATAATTAGGTACTACGTTTAAAAAATTTTTTAAAAATTCCAAAAAAGTATACGAATATTACAGTTATATAGAGCAAATTTAAATAAAAAATGAAACCAGAATCAACTTTCTATCTTTAGTACTTTTTGAGCTCTGAATTTTTTAAAGTTTGAGTTCGTTTGGTATTTTTAACTATGGACTGCACCTCCATATTATTTGACCGCATTCCACTGATCGCGTCATGCGCAATAACTCTTGTTTAAACCGGGTATGTTAACTTTATACAACTTTTATTTCAGTATTAATCATTAAGCTTAAGTATTAAAAGTTCGGATTATAAAATTAATTTTAACAATATACTGCAATAATGAACGAATTATAACTTATGTAGCCATGCAACATGCATTATTGCATTAAAAACGATATGGATATTTTGTTAACATGTCTAGCATCCGTTATATAAATAGTATATAGTCTATATAAGCCAATATAAGGCATCGTAAGGCAAGCCGTCCTTTTAAAACAATACTGGTTCAGGACTACTTCTTCTGAACTTTCAACTTATGCACATGACTAATAAATTAAAGCTTTCTGTCACCAATGATTTAATAGTGCATCTCTTTATGAATGACACAGTGAGAAAAGAACATGCAAGTGACTGTGAATAGTTGCCCATGACAACGTTTTGCACTCAGCAAATTATGATCATTTATAATATGAACTATACAGGGTTTTTAAACCTCAAATTAAAATATTCTTCTTTAAATGCCTTCCAAGTTCATTCTAAAACACACGTTATCAAATATTTTGATGTAAATGGTGGTAATAAATAAATATTTCCTAAGTATCGGCATCTTCCGCCAAGGTGGCATGGTCGAAATGTACAGAATGATTATGCGGCCCACGCTCCTCATTTTTTCAGTTATACGGCCCGCTGTGAAAAATGTTTGTTGACCCCCTGATGTAAATTTATAAATACCTAATATGTAAGTATTATTTTTGGGAATCGTATAAAGTGCATTATTAAATGTATATTTGGCCAAGTAACTTTAGTAGATGGGAATTTCACACATTGCCGCCGCCATGGTTTGGTGGGTTATTTACAGCTATAAATTAAAGTTACTTACTACAGAAGTATCACTAGACCTATCACTTGGAGGTTTTCCTGATCTGTGATCAATGTTTTTTTATATTACAATAACGAAGAACATTGTATCTACAACCAGGAGGTTTTGGTGCACTCTGGTCCATCCTGTGGTTATCCCTTGTACACGACACACCGCGCCAACACCCAAGAATTTCAACTGAGGAAAGAGAGTACATTGAGGCTAATCTCACATCTTGTGCTCAGACTCAGGTAATTTTCTTCTTTTTTAAATTTGATGCATGTTGTTGAGCTTGTTTGTTTGTTGAAATGTTAAAATAAAGTAAATTGTGTATTTTAGCCGATTGTCTTATTCAATTATCGGTACATTATTAATATTATTAATATTTATTAATATTATTAATACAGCTCATTAAATACCCATTTCAAAACCTACAGACCTCCTGTTTTTATATTTTGCTTACCATATTTCTGAATTATTAAAAATTTAATTTTAAAAATCTTGAATTCAGAGCCCTGTGATATTATTAGCTAAGTTTCTACTGTGGAAATCAATCACATAGGAAAACACAATTTGAGGTTTTTGATGTAATCTTTTGATAACCATTTTTTTAAAAAACCTAAATCAAAAAACTCCAATTGTCTTCCCGTTGGTTGTTTCAGTCTCGCCTCCAGCCCAGGTGGACCAGAGTTTTATCATCTCCTGCATTCCTAGCCATAGTGGCTGCCCACTTTGCCAACGACTGGGGATGTTTCGCTCTGACCACTTGTCTGCCGAGCTACTTACATCATATACTTGGGTATGAAATTAAGCAAGTGAGTAGCTCAAGGAGATGATTGTACAAGGGAAAAAGCTACATTCCTTAAATGCTCTTATATCAAAACATTTCATCATCTAAGTTGATGATCAGCTTGTGCTAATGCAGCGGTTCTCAACCTGTGGGTCAAGACCCCTTTGGGGGTCGCACACCCTTTTCCAGGTGTTGCCTAAGACCATCTGAAAACACATATACTCTTCAGTTATGAAGTAACAACTAATTTTGGGCTTGGGGGTCGCTACAACATGAGGAACTGTATTCAAGGGTCGTGGCATTAGCAAGGTTGAGAACCACTGAAAATGAAACATTACCGGGTATATTATATATGTTACCAAATGAAAGGATCATGTTTTTAAAATCTTGACTTTTAGTACCGGTACAAATATAATATAAATAACACAAGGCCTATTTTTAGATATTATTATAGCATGAAAGTAACATGAAGATTTTCACTATGCTCAAAATAGAGGCCTGCAAATCAGATATCTAAATTGGAAAATAAAAAGTTAGCCATGAATGGCAGGACTGTATCAAAAACTGTTTTAAAAATCATTTTTGTTTTGTTTTTTGTTGCTACATTTCAGAATGGATTCTTGTCCTCTCTGCCATTTCTGATTCTTGTGGTCACCAACCCTTTGTCTGGGTATTTGGCAGATTTTCTACGTGCAAAACGAAATATAAGTACTAAAAACACAAGGAAACTGGTGAATTCTATAGGTGAGATTTAGCTGTGCGTTCTTTTCAAACTATTAAAATAATAATAATCCTAATTAAAACTATATAATATATAGGCCTACATTGTTGCTTCGTTAAGTACTTTTAATAACACTTGTTTGACATAAAATTCATGCTTTAAAATTTTCATTTATTTTTTTGACATATTATATAACCTCCCCCCTTAGAACATTAACACTCATCACCTTTTTTTTCAAAAACAGATATAAATAGTTCTACTAAAAGAACTAAGAAAGTAGCCTGTAAATCAAGTTGTTCTGTTTAAGATGACATTATCTAAAAAGGCAATTAATAAAAAAAAGTTCTCATGCTTTAAGTGTGGGTCGGGAAAGGGTTGCAAGTGAGATTAGGTGCTCTGAAAAAATAATGTTTGATGAAGCCGTGCAGCTCACTGGTCAAACTTTGGCTGTTCTTGTTTGTGGTGAGTTTCTGGTTGGTCATATTTGCGTCTCCCTCACTCCTTAGGTCTGTTTGTGCCATCGGTCCTTATGTTCTCAGTATGTTACGTCGGCTCAGATCGCAACATTGTCGTGGCCCTGCTGACTCTAGCAGTGGGTTTCAGTGGCTTTACAATGGCCGGCTACAGTGTAAACCACCTGGACATAGCCCCATCATTTGCAGGTATTTATAGGCTTTACAATGTCCGGCTACAGTGTCATTAACATGGACATATCCCATTTACAGGTAACTGTAATCAAAAATGTTTTATCATAGTTCAAAAATTTAATTAATTTATTTGTTCTAGGAAAAAAAATTATTATGAAACAGTGGAAAGAGATTTATGTACGGTAGTATGTTGTCCCCAGAAATGTTATTTCACTGGTTTTATCCTAAAAAAGGTCTTAAGCCACCTATTACTATTCTTTAAACATATGTTACCAGATTTCTGATGAATGGATATAATAGAATGACATTGAATGGAGCATTTAAGTACCATATGTATAATAAGCCTAAGACATTTTTTTTTTGTATTTTGACAATGAACATAGGACAATTGAAGTTGTTGTTAATTGAAAAATGAATTAATATAGATTATTTGTCAACATTATGCTTCCAAATGTATTTCTTACATCATCATTGATCACATGGGGCAGTTAACTTGTTTAACACAGACATTGAACCCTCTTTGTAAAGAATGCTTTCTAGAAGGTGAAGTCTGTGATAAATGACCAAATGCTAATTGAGAAAATTGCCCTTCTACTGACACAGTTTAATCTATAACCAACCTCAGTTGACAAACAATCATCAATGAAGTTTTACTTTTCCAGGCATCCTATATGGAATAACAAACACAGTTGGGACAACGACTGGCTTCATAGGCCCGGCTATCTTAGCCACCCTTACAGACGGAGAGGTAACTAAATCTTAGACTGTATTGCTCTTGTTAAGACTCCAAATTGAATTATCAATCAACTTAGTTTTTTTTAATTTGTTGCTGCATAATCTCAATGGGGTCTTACCCATCTGATTCCTCCAGACTTGTGTTAGATAATCCGTGAGTTGCCTGTTGTCAGTTTTGGCTGGAGGGGCTGGGAGGATCATCTGTTTTTGTTTCACTCCAAGATTATTTTAAATTTAAACTGATTCTTCTTCTATCGCCCTGTCTCTATATTTCAAACGTGCACACTCTTCATTCCACTATTTCCTTTGGACCGCTTCGACACATCCCTTCATTTATTATCCTTTATTTACGGATATACCTAGGTTCGATTTCAGATTTATTAATTCTCTCTGCTTTAACAAGCTTATTACATAAATTACAGGTCAAAATAAAGTGCATTACTTTCATTGGTGCCTTATTGTTTAAAGCATAAATTAAGTAACCACTGGTTATAAACTGCATCTTTTCTTAATGTTGTTCACATACATCAATATTTTTTGGTTGTTTTTTACTAGCAACATTAGCTTTATCCCCGCTAAAACAACTGTAGCCACAATGAACTTGCCATCTAATAAAGTTGCTTGACAAAACATGCATTCAATCAATTAGTACTTCCCCCAGGTTTGAAACCCCACAATTTTTTTTCACGCCCATTAGTATTAAACACTTCATTACCGAAGACGTCGACGTCATGATCACCCACTTTCAATTACCAAGGACGTCACATCGACGTCATAATAAAAATTGTAGAACTTTTTTGAAATACTGCAGGACATCATATCATTTAATATACAAAAAATTCCATCTTTTTTAGTTTTTTGTTGCTGAGTCAGCAAAAATTGATGCCAAAATCCTGCGGTAATGAAGTGGTTAACTATATTAATATTCTAATGCCCCCCCCCCCCTTTTCCCCTTTATATAAAAATTTCTTTTTTTTTAATTTTTTGTTGCTGAGTACGAAAAAATTAATGCCAAAATCCTGGGGTAAATAAATGGTTAACTTTTTTTATATTCTAATGCCCCCCCCCCCCTTTTCCACTTTATAACAAAATGTTTAAATTGAGACTATTTCTGTAAAACAAAAGAAAAATACAACCAAAGTTGAGTAATCAGGAAATTTATTTTAGTGAAAGCATTAGTGACATTAGTTGATTGATAAATTGTTATGTAGAGAATTCAGTATTTTGAATTTGATTAAAGTCCGCACCCCTAGTTTAAAGACATATGTTAGGAGAAATAAGCATGTGAACAATACTGTATTTAGTATAGAACTTAAGGATATGTTTGCTTATATGTATAATAATTCACCAGGGTTGAGAAAGGTGACAGATAATGTAGATTTACGCCGTCTTCTAAAGTATATTTTTGAAAAATGTTTATCTGAAACAGAATAACAAGCACCAGTGGATGATATTCTTCTACATAACATCCGGCATCTTCTTTGTGGGAGGCTTAACGTTCCTGCTCTTTGCCGAGGGAGAGCCCCAGGACTGGAGGATGCCTGCAGTTGAAATCATCGTGCAGCCTCCACTTCCCATCACCTACGAAGACAGTGAACATACTCCTGATATTAACACAATGTCAGTACAGACACACAGCAGTGACACAGACTCGCCTAGTGACAGTGATTCTGACAAAGAATGGGAAGAGCTCATTTCTCATCGGCGATCACGTCGGACGGCTCCGGTTCATTCGCTTCTATGCAACTTACAATCGTACTAAGAAATTTAGACTTCCCAGTTTATTTCTTCAGCTCTAAAAGATCCAATATGCTGTTCTTGGAGAGGGGAATTTGTGCTAGCTATCTGACTGAAGTATTCTATACATTATATGAATTAATTTATTTCCAAGTTGATGGTACCAAATTGTCTTTGTTGTACGCCTTGTTAAAACAGTGTTGTGAGTAGAAGTGCAATAACGATTAGTAATTTTTATTTATATAGGGGGTTGGGAGGGTTGGGGCGGGGGTAACGGAATAAATAAGTATTTCCTTTGTTTATTATTTTTATTTTTTGTGGCATCTGTCCGCTTGGAAGTTGCAAAAAAACCCTGGCCGCCTGCGCAAGACTTTTTTTGTGTGTGGAGAATAAGTTGTTTATCAGTGAGCAGATCCTTCCTTTCAACCAAGCCAGTAAACCCAGGGAAACATCAAATGCATAATACAGCTTGTTACCGGGAATAAATAGCTATTGAGTATATGTCCAAAACACTCCCCCCCCCCCCACTGCAGGCCATCTCCAGATTCCTCTGTAGACAGTGTCTCCTTTAGACTTTAATCCTTGGTTTGTGGCAGCACTGTATGTTTTGCAGCTCGTTTTCATTCTCTTAGATGTCATGCTCTGATTGTTAACAAACAAAACACACAGATGTCATGCTCTGATGTTAACAAGCTGGACCACACAGATGTCATGCTCTGAAGTTAACAAACTGGACCACACAGATGTCATGCTCCTATTTTAACAAACTTGACCACACAGATGTCATGCTCCTATTTTAACAAACTGGGCCACATAGATGTCATGCTCTGATGTTAACAAACTGGGCCACACAGTCACTTATTAGTTTCCTACCTTAAGGATATCCTGACACTTTGTCTGAAGACCTCCCCACCAATGGGTGACATAGGAAATTTCTTACACACTTCCTACAATTTATATTTTATACAATGTCTCCATTCTGAGAACTCAGAAAAAAGTGAACAATATAAAAAGAAGAAACTTTTCTCTTACAATAGATAAGTAAAATGGAGAAAAGCTGTTTTCTTTCTGAATTTGTTTCACTATTTAACGTGAAAAGAACTTTATATATTTTTTGTTTCTTCTTTAACTGGAGCCATATTCAAAACTTAAAATCGTAAATTTGTTAAAATTCATATGAATTTTTGTTTTTATCGTAAGGACACTAAAATAATTAAGTTTATGTGACATAGGTACGGTACTATTATCTTAAGTGAAATGTATTGCATCAAAGGCTTAGCCTTGAGATATCACCTTAAGATGGGAATCCAGCAAACTTTTGATGTAATGTGCACTCTGCAATTCTACAACAGTATAACTACTATATTTATTTATTTGTTTTAAAATATAAATCAAAACACTATCATAATTTTAAATGTTGCAAAATATTTGCTGCTCAAACAAACGTCTTTCAGCATTGTTCTATTTTATGTGTGTTTCTTCATTGATCTTTGTGTATATTAAATTTTGTAAATACTTTCCATATGTTAATGTATATATACATTTCATTGATATTTTAAAAAAAATAAAAACTTTTTAACATTTATTTAATTCTCGGCCTGAGCTCCTTTATCAACTTTCCGAACTGGCTGAGAGTGTGTAATAAATCTGGCAAGCCACCATGACTTCTTTTCTTTCACTCCTGTCCATCCCTATTTTGATCACACATTTAAGCTGATTCAAACACTCTTCTACTCTTCAATGAATGAAGATACAAGTTACGAAAATGTATTTGAATTAATTATTCCATCAATGGGGTGCACACAATTGAATGCTACTTTGTTTCTTGGGTCAGAAAGGTATCAAATTCACTTATTATAGTTATAACACTCCTAGAAGTGTTATTGAGTTTCGATTATTTCTTTTTTTTGGTGTGGGGGAGGGGCTTCTTTGATAAAAATGTGTGCAAGCAATATAAACTATAATTCAGACATAAGTTTTAAAAATTTTTGTTTCTAAAATTTAAAATGGTCTATATTTTGTGTACCTTACTCCATGAAGTTGATTATAGTAGACGTAGTGTTAAAGATACAAATTTAAGGGGCAGAGTTAAGCAGCAAAGAGTTACCTATAGCAGCGAATGGCTATTCGGACCTGGCTGGTCACGTGAGGTTGGTCACATGACGGTTATGACGGGCACTTCCTGTTGGTTTGCCATCATAGACTTACAGCCATTTTTTATCAATCGAGAAATTGTCATATTTTGAAGAGTTTCATGTAAGCGTTGAAGAAACATTCAATTTGAATGCGACGTTCAGCTAAAAGCAAGTAAGAATACGTTTATGTTTATAATTTTATTGTAGTTTTTAATTCTATTTTAAATATAGTTCTATAATCATTAACATGACATCAATCAAGATTCAAGGTCAAAGTTGCTTTTTTTTTTTTTTTTTTTGCGGCAAATCGGCTACTATCTTATCTGTAATTGTAATGAAAAGTTTGGCTGCGGCTATTCGGACCCGGTATCAGAAGTGGATACTTCAATTTTAATTCACCTCAAAAATTATTATTATTCACACTTCCCATAAAACAAATGTTCTTTTGAATAAAAAACAATTCGGAGAGATCAGCCCGCGGCCGCCATCTTGACCTACGAACTTATGTCCTAAATGTAGATACTTTGATAACAAAATTAAAACTTAAAAAAAAAAATAAACCAATGAAATAGTTTAATAGAGCTAATTTTTAAAAGAATTATAACACCAAAATCATATTTTTAGCTGTTGTTGTTGTAGTTTTAAATTTAAAGTTATGAATTTTTAAAGTACGACTTAATTTGTCCTTTTTTAACATGGACAGCATCTCCACATTCTGTGACCCAATTCCGCTGTTCGCATCACGAGCTATATAACTCTTTGTTTTAATAATTTTATTTTCAGAACTAATGCTGTATTACTGTATTAAAAAAATAAGTTTAATAATGTTACAATTATAGATAAATTGTAACTTATCTAACTATGCATTATTTATATCAGTTAATTTAATATAATGTATTAATATATGGCTTTTCTGTTTACCAAATCTACGACGTCCATTATACCAATATTTGCTATATAATATAGTCTACATAAGGCAACTCATGCCCTAATTACGAAAATACTGTTAGGGAACTATTGAACTTTCAACTTTGGTACATGACTAATTAATTAAAGCTTTCCCGACCTAGTTTAATAGTTTTTGCACACAGCAAACTTTGATGAATGAAATCTCTGAGATAGTAGTAAATAATAGCCATTATGCAAGTCACTGACACTGTGAATGGCCACCATGACATTTTGCACACGGCAAATTTTGATAGTGTTTAATATGGACTCTACCGGGTTTTTTAACCTCAAATTAAAATATTATTCTTTCAATGACATTTAAATTCATTCTAAAACATAAGTTATCAAATATTTTGATGTATATAGTGGAAATGATTAAATATTTCCTAAGTAACTGCGTCTTCCGCCACTGAAAAGGGGGCGTGGCCACTTCCTTATCGAAATTGGGCTGAGCTACATTACCATATAGGGGTTCACTCAAGTGAGCATAACAAGTGATCGACATGTCCTAACTCTATGAGAATTGACACAAAGACATGGATAGATAATACAGAATAAGACTTTTTTTTAAAGACATAAAAGTTGAACTTCTATACGAATTTTATAGTGAAAGATGCCTTATATTTAAAGGGGAATCTCAAAATACAGGTCGATTGAAAATTTTTAAAAAATCAATGTAAATGTACGCCAACATGTCTACCTAATTATAAGGCCGGAAACGGAACTCAGATATATGTCGAAAGCACTCATTTAATAATAAATAAACAAACACACACACATCGGAAAATTAAAAACTCAGATTTTTCGGCGCCGATTGCCGTTTCCGATACACAAAAAGTATTAGCCTCCCTTGGTTTACCGAAGTATCTACTGAACCCTAAATGTATCCCTAAACCTAACATGAACCCTAAAATGTATCCCTAAACCTGATCAATCTGAATTAGCCTAAAAAACTTTTAATTCAAAAATTATTATACATTATTTCACATTTCCATTAAAACACTTCACACTTCCAATAAAACAAATGTTATTTTGAATAAAAACAAACTATTTCTTTAAAGGTCCTCCGCTACTGTAGTAGCCAAAATTGAACAATATTGTCTAGAATTGCGCTGAAGACATAAAAACCATTTACACTTACGTTGACGCCACATGAACTCACACATATACAAAAACTTAACAGAATGAATGACCTTTTGATGAGTTAATCCCGGAGTGGTGCCAATTGAATTAAATGCTCTGAGCTCTCCATTGATCTGACATGACTGTTGTGCCTAGCAGGATGTGTGGTGTGATTATCGGCATGTGTAGCTGCTGATCTATCTTGTACACTTAACATGAAACACTCACTAATCTCCTGACAAATGCCTCCAGAGACCCATTGTTGTGGCAAAACTCGCCCGACATGATTTTTTCTGCATGTAAACAGACTCATTGATTTCAACTGAGAATAAACATGACTTACCGGTGTAAATTATGTGAATTTTTTGATGGATGAAGCATGAATGGATCCTAACACATGTGTTTTGGGAAATAAGGCCCATGGAAGCCCTTTAGACACCCCTGGCACAGAGTTCTACTCCTTTTCCTGCCCTCAGGGTACTTTTCGGTTTCTTCAGAGCGGTCCTTTTCACCGTTGTGCATCCAATTGTTTTATTTGAGCTGGGTGTTACTGAGAAAGTTGTCTGCATACTTATTAGTTATTATTATTCTCTCACAAACATTTTAATGATATATTGTGTAAAAATTAGCATCAGTACTCAAATGGGGTGCTTATCTCATGAATCATATTTAAAGTTTTTATTTTTTCTAAAAATTCATAGAGGTCATCTCTATACAATTCAGAACCCCTAATCCAAGGATTCACAACATTATCGTAAACATAATCATTTTGATTGTCTTCATTACTATCCTGGTTGTTTTCGTCAGTGTCAGATTCACTGCTAGACGGCGAGACATTAAGAGGGTTACGTCCCAAGAGGGTTAACGAAAAAGCTTTGGGTGACCAGCTCTCTTACCAGCAATGCTGCTAGTACATGAATTTCAAAATCCTAGTCCAGAGTTTCCCAAGCGTTTTGGAGTCACAGCATCATTGCTGCACCCACGTCTTTTCAATTTTGCTCTAAGCCACATTTTTTGTGCACTGTAAAATAGCACTTTTTCAGACCTGTTTA